ACTTAGTCATTGGACAATATTAGTGGAAAATTAATTTCAAGTTCTTAAACAGATATTTATATTAGACCATACTACAATAATGAGCCTGGACTCAAGCCAGGAATTAAAGCTCTATTAAGCTAAGAACTCTGCATAAATAAATATGAGGATTATTATTCACTCTGTCAGACCTAGCAAGATTCTTTATTCCTGAGTGCAGTATGCACAGAATGCAGAATTTCCCAAATTCCTTAAGTAGATGAAGTGGGTGAATGGACTCTTGATAACACTGCAAGATACATATCCCTCCAGCAGGAAAGCTTACTAGAGAGGCATCTTTATTCTACCATGCATGATTATTTTACAATTCTTTATCATTACTGTTAATGTTTTCTAGAAGCATTCAGATTTAAGTGAGCTTAGGTGGCTCCATTTTAGATGTAAAGTAAATTCTTATTTATTAACTCTCCTGTTTCTTTATCCTTATTTAAAGGCATCCCTTGGTGTGCTGTATGGAGAGGAGGAAATGCAGAGCATTTATTCATTTGGTTTTCTGACCACCCCAAAGCAAAGGTCATACACCATGTCCTGGGTTTGAGTGAACAAGACAAATGCTTGAGAATGAGTAGAAACTGAAAAGGGCTTCAGTTTTTCAGTACAACTGACCATTTTGCCATGGTTGTATAGGCCTAATCAACCATAACATCAGTTTATACAAAACTTACTAATTTTCATTTCACTCAGACCCAAGAATTTACGGAACTCATCACATGAAAACATGTATTTTGTTACTATATTCATATTGCTGAATGATTAATCTGATATTCCAAGAAAATGATTAACAAATACCAATTAATAATCACATGCCCTACATAGTTTCAGAAGAAAGGGTGAGATCTATTAATAGGAAAAAGAGTGATTCTAAATTTGAAGACAGAAATAATTGGTTCTGATGCAATAATTTTCCTGCCAGTATTACTAGGCTGTAAAGAGTAGATTGTAAACCAGCTTGCAAATTACATAGCAGAAAAACCACAAGGTGATGTGAAACAGAATGAGAAGTGACAAGTGTTAACCTACAAAGGAACTCTGTGACATTGCCCAGGTAGTAAGGATAGTAAGGTAGGAACATCCTGTTTTCATTTGGGATGAATTTGCAAACATGATAGACCAGATCAAACAGGCGAGCAAAAGAAATTATAGCTTCTAATTCACACTGACTCTATTAGATCAAGTCAGAGTCATATAGGAGGGGGTGAATGGCAATAGTACTTTGGATTTTCAATGATAGACAAATTAAGTTTGTAATGGCATACACAAATAAGTATGTCTTGGCTTTCAGATATACTGAGGTCCTTTCAAGACCCAGTGAGGTTATGGCAGCTACAGTTACATGGCTCCTATGTACAATTTTTTATATATATATACAGGCGTTTCTGTATGCATAGTATTACTGCTAATTATTAGGGTGGTGTATCTTTAAAAATACTCCTTTGACCAGTTTTCACCCAGGAAAGCTAGTTTATGTAATTTACTCCCAATACTTTTGTCTTTCCCCCTCCAACAACAGAATGAAGTTACATGGACTTCCCTGACAGCACTATAGTATCTTTTGGATGGAAAACCTACTCAGCATTATACAGTGCCCACTGAAGCTATCAAGAGCTCTTCCACTGACTTCACTAGCCACTGATGTACCATGAGAGCACACTAATGCAGTAGTCACTCTTCCTTAGGAAGACATGAATCACCATCTGATTTTGATCATAACCTCTGAAAGGACAAACTACAACTTGTTCAAAAGGTCACAATAGACAAATGTCATCTAGGGCTTGACCAACATCCAGAGAAGTCACTGAAGGTTAACAGTAAAATTCTCAGTGTGAGTAAAAGTTACTCCAACATGAGTGATTATTCAGTGTTTGTAATACTGATACAGTTTCAAGAACTACCAGGCTTGTTGCTGCATAAAACCCAAGAAGATATGGTGGTATATACTGCACAAAATATAGTGGAGAGGAATCCTGTCCACTAATGACCAGTGCTCTGAAAGGTGAGAAGAGGGAGCTTTGTCCCTCACACCTTACCACCTAGCAGTCTGGAAGATTATTCAAGGCAGGTGAAGGAAGATAACTGATGAATGAAGGTCCCATGTAAGTACAACACTCCATTCATCAACATAACAGTATAGACTGTGTGTGATAATGGGAAAAGAAAATACCATAAACTCTTGTACTGTAGCATATTACTGCTGTAAACTACTGGCTTTTCTGAAGCTCAGTTCACTGATTATCCACCTGAGCCAACAAGCAAGGCTGCTAGAACAAGGCAATGCCAGTTCAGTAGACATTGGGACTGAGCCTGCATTTTGTGTGATAAAATCCTCCACTGAAAGGGAGGCTAGCTAAGAGAGACCACTGCTGTGACGGTAGGAACTAAATACAACTAAGCATATAATGTTGCAATCTAATGAAGGTCAAACAAGAACATGTATTCATGTCTACCAAAACTAACACTACTATAAAAGGAATCTTCAGAGATTAAATTTCCCTGAATGCCTTACAGTGACAGCAACACCATACTTGTCTTCCAAGAGGGAGAACGCTGATTACCATGCTCATTAGTTTTATTTTCTCCAGTTTTGAGCCAGCCTAGGAACAGGCCCAAAATTAATTTTCTTCAAACACCACACTAACAAAACTTGACCCATAGCAGTGTCTCCACTGTTTGAATCAAAACCCCTAAAAACAGCTGTGCCTCTTTGTTGTGAGGGCTAGTTTTCAGCACCTTTTCCTGATCTTGTAATCAAGAGCAAGGACAGCAACCAGAGTAGTTTGCCTTTGTAAACATTTTCAAAGCATGATTTTAACAAGATGATGAAAGGTTTTTTTGGTTTCTCCCATGCCTTCTCAACAAAAGGGAAAGTTTCCTTTGACAGGGAAACAAACATCTGAGTAAGAGGCTGATAACAGTCACAATGAAAATTTAAAACAGATATACTGTAGACTTCTGGCCAAAAAACATGTAACAGGATTTATATTGTGTATGTAGGTTTACAGCACACCCCAGTTTTCAGAGGAATAAAGCACTTCTGTTGAGTTCTAACAACACACAGCGAATAAGGACAAAGAGCTATACATTTTTCCTGCTTTGATTTAGAATTCAATCTCCGGTTCAAGGTTCTGATTCTGCTTAATTTTCATCCAAGCATGGGGATTAGTAAAATCAGAAGACTATTCCATCTCCCCTACTGCTCTTCTATTTTACATAGGTGACATTTTCTTGTTTTAATTTCATTACAAAAAATAATTGGCATCCATTTGTCTAAGATAAACCGTATATCTTCCTGTTTATATTATACCTAAAACTATGCTACAACTAGAATCATATATTTGTGAATTAATGATGCAGCCCTTTCTCACTCAAAATTCCCTTTGAGAAAAAAAGAATTTGCTTTTAAAAAGGCTGCAGCATCAGTAAATCTAAGCTAAACTTGACAAGAGGACAATTTTATTTGGGAAGAAATACAAGGCAAATGAGCTCAGTTCATAATGTGCTCAAACAGTAAAGAGAAAACATGCTTCCCATGCTGCCCAAATGGCTGACATAATTTTGCTTGCTTTCTTTTCCTGTTTACTTGAGAATGCAAATGGCTTTGCTGTCAGGGTACATTTGTTCCCACTAATTCAAGACACTATAACAAACCAAAATATTTATTTCTTTTTTCCACCCTAATTTGAGTTTTATCATATTGGGAACATCATCTATGGATTTCATTTACTGTAATATTATGCAAACAGCCCTTGTGGGAAAGTCACACCTCTGTAATACAAAAACTAAGCATAAAGAAGTCTCTTAATATTTTAGGATGTGTTGTCTCAAAGGGCCCAAAAATTCTGTTCAGACAAACACATAAAGGCCAAAATGCATATCTCAAATAACTACTCAAATATCCCACCTCAGAAAACCCTTGGCTTTTCAGAGAAGGCTTTTTAGTAGATGGCATGGACTACCAGAATATATTCTGTTGATTAGAACTGGATCATTAAATAGAAGCAGACAGAATATTTGTATAGTTAAATCCTCATCCTGTTCATGAATGAACAAACTGATGCTGCCTCATTCAGCTGGGTATATAATAAATCTAACCAAAATGTTTTCCTTTGAAAAATGTTTTTGACAGTAACTGGATTTTAATCAAGTGATCATTTGTGTGTAAAGCATTTCTGCCTCCTATAGGAAATAAAATGAGATTTCAGCTAAAAAAACTACTGTTTTCTTTGGAAATTCAGTTTGACTTTCTTCAGGAAAAAAAAAAATATCAACCTTTTCCAATTAGAGTTGTTTGTGCCACTTAAGGGGCAGAAATTGGTTTCTGCCAGCCCCTTTGGTAAAGTCTAAAAAACAGTGACTCACCCCTTCAGGCAGTGGAGCATGAGTCCAGATTTGCTCATGTAGAGTGCTGAAGTTAGGAGCCTATTTGCCATATGGTCCTTCCATGTGAGCTGCTCCATGAATAGCCTATCTCTATGAAGACTCAAATGAGCTCTTTGCAAGTGGCTTCTAACTTCAGTATCTTAGTTATGGGCCTAAAATTAGGTGGGATGAATCAGACCACAGAAACTATGTTTATGAGCAAGTCCTTTGTAATCAGTTTACTTTTGTTTGCCTTCCCCATTCAGGTAGCAGTTTCTCATAATACTTAACCTAGTCTCTTGATGTCCTTTTCACATATACTTAACACTGTCTTGTTCTAGCCTCATTTGTATTTGCACTGACTCCTACAGATCCCTTTGGTTTACCATAGCACAAACTCAGAATCAGGTTGCTACTTTAGTAGATGATTTGAACACAGAAATCTAAAGAAAACAATCCCACTGAAGCCCTTCCAGTTTTTAACACACATTCAAAAGGTAAGATCTGAAGCCAAGGCCATTGATACCTGACATTTATCATTACACTTAATATTTTGGCTCAATTTGACTCAATATTCTCCATTAAGAAATACAGTCTACCCTTACCATTCTCACCAGATGTCTTGTCTTTTCCATTTGTAGCTCCGGTTCCTTGTCTCTGTTAGGGGAAAAGAACCCAAAACAAGTGGTTAGAACTTGAACATGCATTTTCCCCTTGAAATTACTAGCAGTTACAGCCTGATTTCTTCTCAAAACCTTGTATAGTCATTCACTCTCATGCAATGTTGCTCCAAAACACTACCAGTCAGAACAGGAATGCTTAGTACCATTTAGGTACAGTTGTATGCATGCAACCATGTGTAGTTATGTTAGTGATGGGATATGTGTAATCAAGTTTCCAGAAGTGCAAGGGTATGAGCTACAGTAGGACATCTCTTCAGGTCCCTGTTGTGCCTCTATTTCCATGATTATTCTGACCTGTCTTTGGCAAGAAGACTCATCTTTCTGCTTTGGCTACAAGTGGAGATGGAGCTTCTCACTTCAATTCACTCTGCCCAAGAAATAGTCTCATGACTTTCCATGAAACGGACTGAATTAAGTCACTCTCAGTAGCATGTGGCAAACAGAAGTGCCATCCAAAGAAACATTTACAGTGGCAGGGCTGTATTAGTGTGATTACACTACTAAGTAACTTTCTAGCTTAGGAATGGCCACTATGAAAATGGTGCTGCATCCCCCAGAGAAAGCATCTCACAGGTGGAATTAAGGTACTTTAGCAAGTATGGCAAAACTTGCATTTATTATGCAAAGGTATTCATACTTGTGTGTATTACTAAAATGGACTAAAGAATTCATCCTCCAAGGCTGTACATGTTAAAAAAACTAGGAGTATTAAATTCAGTGAATAAATCCAGCTGCAGCACATCCTCATGCATCAGGAACATCAACAGCTACAGTAACACTGTAAACGAAATAGTTTGTACCAAAATATGAATAGTTGTATCAATTCACTTATTAAAATTCATACAGGCATACTAATCTGAAGGTATTTACTCTAGAATATCTGGTTAAACTTCTCTACTGCTCTGGTTTCTGTCCTTCATCTCCCACAGCAGTGGTATTTTCAGGGTATTCTGCGTACATGGAGCATAACTACAACATAAGTACAAAACCTTCAGGTGTACTCTTAGCTCTTCTAGAAGCAAAAGGGGGAGAAGAAAAAACCTCTTCAAATCGCTCAGGAGAACACAGAACAGCTACATATGGTTTACCATGCATACATATGCCAGTGGTGGGGTTTCTCATCTTCTCTGTGGCAGACTTTGGTGCATGTATGTCTGCTTTACTGGCTCTGCCTCATTTTCACTCTGTGCAATGAGACAGAGCATCCCTAGAGAAAACAACCAACTCCATAACCACAGCTACAGTCTCCCCATACAATGGAAATATATTTGTTTCTCCTTGGAGCTTCAGAGCTAAAAACAGGAGAGAAAACTTGGCCAATAACAAAGATTGGAATGCTAAAGGAATCAACATCTTTTACAAAAGCATAAGTTACCAACAGCCAGAAATCCATAAATCCATCCAACCACCAGCTTTGCTAAAGATATTAACCTTTATACCTCTAATGTTTGGTTAATATTTCCATATTTCAATTTCAGTACACACTTGAAACTGGATTTTAGTATTAATTTACCGGGACCTCTCAAAAAAACAAAATACCAGATTTTTCCTATCTATAAAATCATAACTATATTGCTTTTTCCTCTCCTGTTTATTCTTAAATGATTTTTTAAGTTATCTTCTTTCCTGAGCATTTCAGGCTGTGCTACTTAGCCTTTATGAAAGCTTCTCTTTCCTCCCTAGGCTATACCTGTCATGTTCTGTCTGATATTGATGGAGTGCTGGAATATGGATCCACACGTTTATTTCATGTCTCAGGATTGCCCCTCAGGGAGAAGGGAAAGTTATCAAAGAAAACAAATAAAAACTTGGCTTGGGTCAGTGAACGTTTTTCTATCCATGAGGTCAAGATTTTTTCTTTAAGTCTGAAATCAGTCTAAGTATTCCACAGCGATTCATTTGACTGGTGACCACTGGACATACACAGAATGAGCCTGAAAGTCTGCCAAACAAGCTTCTGATAGCCTTTCCTTCAGCTATATACATATTTTGATCTATAAGCACTGTGCTGTCTCCCAAGTGAGTGAAATGGATTTGAAAATGAAAATCATTTTCTCATTAACAAGGTATTGCAACTTATGAAAGAAGCCATATATAGTGTGATCATCTAACAGCAAAGCCTTTAGCCTTTTATTTCAATAAATTCAGTGGACCTATTTTTTAAAATATTTTCAGGATGTTCATATTAGTAGCAGGAGTTTCTTGCTTCTTTCATCACCTTTCATGATGCTACCAGAGGCTGCAAAACAAAGCTTATCTTGTTAATGTCCTTCAGAGCACAAGAAGACTAACCATGAGGAAGAGTTACTAGGGGTATTTTCAAGAAGCAATGGATGAAAGCCCTCCAAAAGCTGGTATAACAGATATTGTGCTCAGATGCAACAGATCAAATTAAAATCTATGAAATACAAGAAAAACAGTATTAATTTCTGGGGTTTGTTTTTAAACAGAAAATCCTCAAGCTGCTGACCATATTTTAAAAGATAGAAGCAGTCTAACACTTTCTGTTTCATATAGCTTGTAGCCAGCTTCCTTCATTCAAAGATTGCTTCTAAAATTCCCCAGCATTTTTTAAGGCAGAAGCATTGAATACTTCCCACCGAAGAAGAAACAGCCAAAATGAACATGAGTACAAAACTGTAATGATTATACAGTAAAACAGGATAAGCAGTTTTGTTGCTGTGTTGTGTGGGAGAAAACAGTTCATGTCTGCTTGGGGCTGTATTAATTTTTAACTCAATTTTTTTTTTTAACAGAACATCAAAGGCACATCATTAAAAATGTCTCCAAAACCAAAGTCATTCCCAGTTTGTCAGAAGAGGAAGGGAAAAGGCGTAATGCCATATGCCCAAAATTCCAGTAAGAACAGAACAGGTTTACTTTCCTGTTACATTCTCAATGCTATACACAGCAGGCAGTTAAAGTGGTATGTAGAACTGTACTAAATTAGTCCCCTAGGTGTACAAACTAAGGTCAAAAGTGAATTTGCAGCACAGAGGACTTCTCAAGAAGAATGTTAAATTACTGCTGCAGCTTTTCTACTCATTCTTCTAGCCTCTCCTGCACCTCCAAGCCTAATTTTTGCCTTTAATCTGACATTCTGTTCTTGCCTAGAAATAGTCTGACCTTTTCAGTTATGCTTCCAATTAGCACCTCAGTGTTAGAGACTGTAGCCAGGTGTTGATTACAGAATTTTTGGGGGCAGAGGGGTTGTTTGTTTTTCAATGAGCCACAAAAAGCCAAAGATCAGGGACATGAAGCTGCCAGAAAGTTCTGACAAATGGGCCCTTACAGTATTAACATTATTATGCTACTTTATCCTAGTGCAGAGCCAACAAGGTACAGCACACTGTAACCCAGTAAAGCAGTGGCTGCATATTTTCAAAATATATTATTTCTAGAACAAAAGAATGAAAGAGCATCCAGGGCTAAAATTAAGAGTATAGAAACAGTGGAAAGTTTTTGTAAAGTGAATAGAGAGAATGAGTGTAGACTTGACTCCGGACAAAAAATTATTTCATTGACACATATGAAATTTTATTAGGATGTTCTGTCTGTCAAGTTGGCATATCTTAAGCTTTTCTGAAGCCTTGTTTTGCTACCAACTCCATCCCTAACAAAAGGCATTACATGTGTGACAAAGAAATACATGCTGGTACAGTGTAACACAAAAATGGCTGTGGGTCAGCCAGCTGTGTGCCAAGCAAGCCTTTATTCTGCACCACCATCTCTTCTCCATACAAAATTTTTTCTGGAAGAAATATAAATTGAATCAAACTAAACTATTTCATAAGCACCTTTTTTTTTCATAGCTTTTTGCTTTAATTGAAAAGAGTTCAGCTGCTTTAGCCTTAAAATGAAGTACTGAAAAATGCATTTTACAAATTTATAAAGTTTATGATCTTTCTGAAATTAAAATGTCACTGTAAATATCTGCTTAAGGACCTTCCATGTTCTCCAAACAAGGAAAGCTTCCTAGTCAACAGCAGAACCATCAGAAGCTATAGCAATTTCTACCTGCTGTTTTTTCAGGACTAAGTATTTCCTGTACAGTTTCTCAAATCAGGAAAATTAGGGTTGACTTTATCCAGGAACAACCTAAGTAACAAAGTTTTTACAGGCTGATCTTTAGTGTTGGTTGATCTTTGAAGATACTGAGAGTTTTAGACTACTGAAGTAAGCCCCAGTTGAGGTTCATTAGACTACAGGCATAGGCAGATCCCAAAGCATAGTTCTTACACAGACATTAGTGCCTGAAGGTCCATAGTATGTTTTAGTTTTCCCTATGTGGAATTTTGAGAACACTGCATTAGCATGCACGCCTCCTAAAAACTAAAGAATGAATTGGACAAGTCCATATTGAAAAACAGAAGACCATCAAACGTGGGACCTCCATACTTCACAGTCTCATCTTCCATGTACCTCCTGCCCAGGCATATTATATACAACTCCCCTGGCTCTAGGAATCTAGAGTTTTCCATGTTTTTAACAGCAGGTATAATTTTTGCTATTAAAAAAAACCCAGAAAGATACTCAGTTTAAAAGCAACTGTGGGCACTGAGGGAAGCATCAACTATTACCAGTAGATTAATATATTATGTGTACATGTCACTTGAAAATAATTATGCAGTGAGGTGATATCCTGAGCCAACTGAAATCAATGGGAATTTTGCAATTGCTTCACTAGTGAAGAACACAAGCTGTGTGTCAGAAACTAAATGAAGATTCAGAATTTAAGTAGGGGCAAGAACCAAGCAGCTATGGCCTGGGATGACTGGATATACTCTGCAGAACTCACTATTTCAGTGTGATAATTTAAACTCTTCTTCAATGGAGACTTCTGTTTCACTGTTTGACAACTTTAATGTCACATATCGACTTCAAACGATAGCACTCAGCATTTCACACTTTTAAATGTGAAAAACTACTCAACCACAATACAGTAGAAGGACAAAAGTTATTACCATGTTTAAG